ACTCGCGCATATACTATCCTTTATCATAAATTTATATTAAAAAAAGAATAAAAATATAAAAAGATAAATAAGAAAGCAAAAACATTCGAAATTTAATGCATTATATGATAACTATATTAAGAAACACAATGAAGTCGTTGAAAAATTATTGACCCTGAATCAGTCTGTTATACCTAATTCGAAAAAGCTTCCGAAAGTTGTTGTTGTGAAGCCTGCTATGAAGAAAGGATTAGGAAATCGATTCCCTGGAATAGTATGTGGATTTTTATATTCAATTATCACTAATAGGCTACTCTTTATTGATGGATATAACCATTTTGAAGATTACTTTGAGAAAGATTTTGAACATAACTGGGAAAAAGTTGCAAATTTATATAATAATCGTAGTTTTAAAAGTTTGCATAATGTCGAGGAAAATGAATTTTCATTAATAACTAGAGGAAATCTTAGTAGTGAAGAAGTAAATTCTTATGACATTTTACATGTCCACACATGGGATTATGTGTGCGTGCCAATAATGTCCAATCCTTATTATAAAGAATGGATTAACGAAATAATTCCAGAATATAAAGTTTTCACGATCATTAGTCAAAAATTATTTAGATTAAAATCTGATGTCAACAAACAAATAGACACTTTTATAAACAATAATTTTGGAGAGTATAATATAGGAATTCACTTAAGATTGAAGAAGAACATTAGGAAAACGATAGGTATGATAATACCTATAGAAAATTATTGTCGAGTGGTGGAAATGCTGTTGATAGGAATAGGCAAAAGAAATGTGACAGTCTTTATAGCTGCTGATATGAATGAAAGTCGTGATACCTTAATAAATTATATTCACAAATCACTCAATTCAAATAAAGAATTTGTTAAGATTGTTCACGTTAATAATAATATGAGCATCAAAAATCCATCTAACCGTAATCCTGGTACAGAAATAAGCGCTCTTATTGATATGAAGATTCTTAGTTTTTGTGATGACTTGGTGCTTACATTTGGTTCAACATTCGGTTATGTTGCAGCAGGATGGTCTTATAGATCATTACGTCGTTTAAGAAGTCCGTTTGTAGTAATGCCAATGAGAAATACTACAGATGATTTTGCCGTTGATAAAATTTGGTTATGGCGGGCCGAATCAAATGAACCATGTATGTACTTGAGTAAAGAACTGATGAAAAACGCTGATCCAGAAACTGTCAAAGTTTTTAAAACCAATCCATTTTGGATGCATTATAGTCAAGGGTGTCCCTAATTACATATGCTCATGGTTGGATCGACTAAGGTTAAGGAGGTTATTATGGCGGTGTTACATTTACCAATTACAGATTTTATTCCAATATAGTATATATAAATTTATTTATTTAAGGGTAGAGGATACGTAGTGTAATGGAATTATCTAAATTCTATTTATTCCTTTTACTAAGTCTTTACTTTAGTATTTTTCTTTTATTGATTAGCTTTCTTATTTATCTTTTTATATTTTTATTCTTTTTTTAATATAAATTTATGATAAAGGATAGTATATGCGCGAGT